GCTTAAAAGCCTGAATTTTGCCTGAAACTCTCAGACTGAAGAAGTCTCTTGGARGAGAGACGAAACGTTTCATTAGAGAAGAACCCGTCCAGAAGACCTATACAATTTTTTTCTTTTTGATAAATAATAATAATAATTTGCTCTGATACAACTAAGGGCTGTGAGCCAAGACAATCCATTTCACTTTAAAGCCCATCATTTGTGCCTTCAGACCGAGCAGAACTCCACRTATTGGAGAGCTGAGCTGCCGTTTCTTAATGAGCCTGTTTAGACTGTTCTCCTCCCCAGGGGAGCACCAGGAATGTACACATATTTACTGTCATCTTCTGCCACACACCCACACAGTACAGCAACACAGAATATACCATGATCAGAAAGTTTTGGCACAGAAATGAAAGCTGTCGATGATGGACCGKCCTGTCTGAATCTTTTCCATTAGCTCTACTCAGATTCTGGCTGCTGCACATCATTTAAATGTAACTGTCTGAACGTCTGAGCTGCAGGCTGAGCAGTGTCTAACCCTCTAACCATCCTACTGATGTCTGCATCAAATACAGACAGAGAGCCTGGCTTTGGCTTTGTGTCAAACAGACTGCAGGTTCGCTCTAAACCATGTGGGAAATAGAAAAAAAATACTATAATGATAAAAACACACAGACATTCTTTTAAATGTGCCCAGCATAAGCCTGTCTGAAGATATACGAAGAATAAAAGCGAAGGAGAGATACTATGTGCTACTCACCCAGCATGGAGGAAACAACAATCAGCTTCATTTTAGTAAGAATTCAGTCTTCAGAATTAAAAATATGCATCTCCTTTAATTTTTAGCTAAATAAAAAAAACAAGGAATTAAAGTTTCCGTATTTAAAATGGGAGTATAAATCCGTTCTCCAGAGCCTGCTGTTTTGAGGGTCAAAAAATAATCAGTGGAGGAGTGAATGTCTCAGCAAAGTCCAGACAGAGATGGTCATCTTGGTGGAGACATTTCCTTCCTCTATCAGAGGGTTCTTGATGCAGCCATGTGACAAACTGAGCAATTCACACAGTCAGTCTGCAACTGCACTCAGCTCATTTCTCTGCTGATTTACTGACAAATAAGGCTGTAGTGCAGTGGATAAGCACTCATATGAGAATAATTGTGCATTTTGTAAAGAAAGCATGAAATTKGCATCACTTTTACCATATACTGTAAGATTTAGTTTTAGATGTGGAGATAAGCTGGATTTGACCTCTAACTTCTTCCTGTTGTCCTCCATCCATCGTTTCAGTTGTAGGCTGAGTCCTTTAGTGATGTGACGTTCACGAACAATCCAAATCTTTTGAACGGCTCTTTACAACGAACGACAGGAGCTGAGTCGCGGGCAGTAATGAGCAATATGTAGTTTTATTTATTTTATTCGTCATATAATCTTTATTTTTTCATCCTTAAATGGCTTTGCTTTTTCACGGAAAACAGGCAGAGTTKTGGAGAACAGAAGCTCATGGGAAAGGGGGAGGGGGGTTTCCTGCTTGACAAAAAACATGGTTCCACACACATAACGTGATGACGTCATCACGTATGGCAACGTGATGATGTATTTCCCTATGTGATGATGTAACTTGTTCAAAATCRAATGGCTCTTTTGAACGGCTCAATGAAACAAAGGGAAAGGGATCYGGATCTTGATCCAGATCCCTTCAAAGAGTCATTTATCCCATCACCAATATTTCTTTTGYGCTTTAGTGGTCTTAMTAATTATTATAATTCATAAGATTTGTGCTTTCTAAAATTAAAATGCAKTACCGCTAATAATTTACCTACCAGTCATTATRTTGAACAGCAGAAGGTATGGCTGTCAATGAATCACAAYACATGTGATCTATCCAACAGCACCCCTCCCAGATAAACACACTTATTGTGAAGGTATACATCCTGCTGACTGTTGCTTTGGGTCACGSTTCTCATTTCCCACAATGCTTTGTGTCTGCTTACGTAGCAGGAAGKCAATGTTTAGAACTCCCTGTCCCAGCTAAAACAGTAAATGTTTGTAATCCATACTAAAATTTTGTATGTATTGATTTATTGCACTTTACAATCGGAGCTCCTTTTAAAAAAAGTTTAAACGTTGGAGCTCAATACTTGACATAATTTGTCAAAGCAACGGGGTTAGAGTCGCAGAAATGATTTAAAGATGTTATG